TCATGACATATAAGGAAAGAAGCCAGCTCCATAACACTAAAGTGCCAGGTGAAGCAGCAGGTGCTGATATAGAAGCTGTGGGTCATGCAGAGGCTCCAGCCGAGTTAATTAATGATGGTGGCCATACCAAATCACAGATTTTCAGTGTAGATAAAACAGCTTCTATTGGAAGAAGGTGCCAGCTAGGACTTTCATAGTTGGAGAGGAGAAGTCAGTGTCCGCCTTCAAAGCTTCCAAGGACAGTCCGACTCTTCTGTTAGGGGCCAATGCAGCTGGTGATTTTAAACTGAAGACTATGCTCATGGATGATTCTGAAAATTCTAGGAATAATTCTTGAGAAGTAAATTAGGCTCAATTTACTTTGGCTGTGCTCTATAAACAGAACAACAAGGCCTGGATGATAGCACATCTGTTTATAACATGACTTACTGCACATTTTAAGCCCACTATTGAGACCCACTGCTCAGGAAGAAAGATTCCTTTCAAAATATCACTACTCATTGACAAAGTACTTGGTCACCCAAGAGCTTTGATGAAGATGTTCAACAAGATGAATGCTGTTGTCACGACTGCTAATAAATATAACATCCATTCTTTAGGTCATGGGTCAAGGAGTAATGTTGACTTTGAAGTCTTATGTCATTTGTAACAATATGGATGGACCTAGAGGGTATTATGCTAAGTGAAATAAATGAGACAAAGACAAATACCATATGATTTCATTCATATGTGGAATTTAAAAAACAAATGAATAAACAAACAAAAGCAGTAAAGACTTTTAAATACAGAGAACAAACTGATGGTTGCCAGAGGGGAGGGGGAAGAGGGAAGGGCAGAATGGGTTAAGGGGCGTGGGAGATACAGGCTTCCAGTTATAGAATGAATAAATCACTGGAAGAAAAGATACAGCACAGGAAATACAGTCAGTGGTACCATAACAGCACTGTATGATGACAGATAGTAGCTACTCTCGTGGTCACAGAGCGTAATATATAGAATTGTCAAATCATGATGTTGTAACCCAAGATTAATGTAATATTATGTATCACCTCCGTTGCAGGCTTTTTTTTAAGCGGGGGGAAAAGAAAATTTTCCGGAAAGGATTCACCATTCTTGGTATCTTTAAGAATATCCGTGACTCATGGGAAGAGACGAGACTATCAACATTCACAAGAGTTTGGAAGAAGTGGATTCCAACCCTCATAGATGACTTTGAGGGGTTCAAGACTTCCGTGGAGGAAGTAAGTGCAGATGTGGTAGAAACAGCAAGAGAACTAGAATTAGAAGTTGAGCCTGAAGATGTGACTGAAATGCTGCCAGCTCATGATGAAACCTGAGTGGATAAGGAGTTACTTCCTATGGATGAGCAAAGAAAGCAGTTTCTTGAAATGGAATCTACTGCTGGTGAAGATGCCAGGAACATTGTTGAAATGAGAATTAAGGAATTAGAATAGGACCTAAATTTAGTTGATAAAGTAGTAGCAGGGCTTGACAGGATTGACTCCAATGTCAAAATAATTTCCACTATGGGGACAATGCTGTCAAACAACATCACATGCCACAGAGAAATCATTCCTGAAACGTAGACTTAATGGATGTGCCACACTTCACTATTAATTTATTTTACTTTATTTTACTTTAAATGGTTATTTTTTAAATTTATTTTGAGAGAGAGAGGAAGAGTGCTGGTGGGGAGGAGCAGAGAAAGAGGAGAGAGAGAATCCCAAGCAGGCTCTATGCTCAGCCCAGAGCCTGACACGGGGCTCAATCTCATGAACCACGAGATCATGACCTGAGCTGATATCAGAAGTCAGATGCTTAACTGACTGAGCCACCCAGACACCCCAACTCACTATCATTTTACATTAATAAATTGCCACAGCCACCAAAGCCTTCAGCAACCACCAACCTGATCAGTCAGTAGCCATCAACATCAAAGCAAGATCCTCCACCAGCAAAAAGAAGTGACTGCAGACGTGGTACAAATAGCAAGAGAATGAGCATTAAAAGTGGAGCCTGAAGATGTGCCTGAATTGCTGCGATCTTATGATCAAACTTGAACAGATGAAGAGCTGCTTCTTATGGATGAGCACAGAAAGTGGTTTCTTGAGATGGAATCTACTCCTGGTGAAGATGCCGGGAAGACTGTTGAAATGACAACAAAGGATTTAGAGTGTGACCTACACTTAGTTGACAAAGCTGTGGCAGGATTTGAGAGGACTGACTCTCATTTTGAAAGAAATTCTACCATGGGTAAAATGCTATCAAACAGCATCACACACTACAGAGAAATCATTCGTGAAAGCAGAGTCTGTTGATGCAGCAAACTTCATTGTTGTCCTATTTTGAGAAATTGCCACAGCCGCCCCAGCCTTCAGCAACCACCACCCTGATCAGTCAGCCACCATGAACATCAAGGCGAGACCCTTTACCCACAAAAAGATTATGACACACTGAAAGTTCTAAGGATGGTTAGCATTTTTAGCAATAAAGTATTCTTAATTAAGATAGGTACATTGGTTTTTAGACATAATGTTCTTGCACGCTTAGTAGACTATGGTATAGTATGAACATAAATTTTGTATGCATTGGGGAACTAAAAAATTGCTTTGATTCACTTTACTGTAATATTCCCTTTATCACAGTGGTCCAGAGTTGAACCAGCAATATCTCCAAGGTGTGCGTTAACTATCACTATCCCTCGCCCACCCTTCTCATCTGACACACTTCATCCCTGGCTCACTATACTGAAGCCATGCTGGCCTTCACCTTCATGCACACGAAGTTCCTTCCTGTCTCAGGAAATGTGCACATGCTTTACACCTCTGCTTGAGGGCTAATCTCCCTGATCTTTCTATGGAGGATGCTTTCATTTTTGCTGTCAGCTTGAAGTCCACTTTCTGATCACTATAGCCAAAGTATCCCCCTTAGGTTCCCCTTAGGTTACTTTGTCTTGCTCTCCATTATCTCCCTAATGCCTCACGGCACAGGCCCACAGAAGGCACTTAATAAATACTTGTTAGAATGAAATAGTTATCTTAAATTTAGTTACCTAGAATAATTATTTTTAATACTATGAGCATTAAATGTTTGTTAAATAAATCAATAATATATATTATTATTCACATATTACCACTTAAGTCTTATTTTTATTATAAAATATAAAATACTTTTTTCCTTTTTTAAAAAAATGTTTATTTTGGAGACAGAGAGAGAGAGAGAGAGAGAGAGAGAGAGGGAGCACATTCAGGGGAGGGGCAGAGACAAAGGGAGGCAGAGAATCAATGCACATTCAGTGCTGTCAGTGCAGAGCCTGATGCAGGGCTCAAACTCATGAACCATGAGATCATCACCTGAGTTGAAATCCAGAGTCAGATGCTTAACCAACTGAGCCACCCAGGTGCCCCTAAAGTACTTTTTATATGTCTAACAAATGGAATAAAAAATATATTTTAAAATTTATATAGTCTCTGGCAAATCAATGTTTCATATTTTTAGATTAAATGATTTAAAGAATACACAATGAAATAGATAAATACAAAACCACAATTCTCCATTTATAGGTACTCCCCACTAAAATATAATTTCTTAATATTGATGATTATTGGTTACTGAGTTTCTAAGTCATTATTAATGGATAATTGTCTATGATACTCTAATTAAAAATTACTCTTTTAGTTATAAGCAATTCTGTATATTTATTTTTTTAAGTTTATTTATTTATTTTGAGAGAGAGAGAGAGCACAAGCAGGGAAAGGGCAGAGAGAGAGAGGGAGAGGGAGAACCCCAACAGGCTTCATGCTGTCAGCACAGAGCCAGACACGGGGCTTGAACTCATGAACTGTGAGATCATGACCTGAGCCAAAACCAAGTCAGATGCTTAACTGACTGAGCCACCCAGGCACCCCAGCAATTCTGTACATTTAAAACCTATTTTGGGGGTGCCTGGGTGGCTCAGTCGATTTAGTGTCCAACTTTGGCTCAGGTCATGATCTCGCTGTCCATGGGTTCAAGCCCTGCATCAGGCTCTGTGCTGATAGCTAGCGCCTAGAGCCTGCTTCATATTCTGTGTCTCCCTCTCTCTCTGCCCCTCCTTCATTAGTTTTTTTTAAGAAATAAAACCTGCTTTGTATACACAATGTACAAGTTTTAAGAGGAACATGAAAAAAGCATTAATACTAATTCCAAGAGTAAAAATAAGGCTGACAAAAAAGAAAAAAAATCCTGACAATTATAAAGAAAAAAAACAAAAACAAAAACACAGCCATTTTGAAAATTTGATGAGTAGATCTGTATTAAGCATCCAGAAAATAGTAATTTGGGGAAATGTAGTCTTTTATTCCAACAATTGAAAATGGCTACATTACAACAAGGAAATAATTAAATACTCAATTACAACAATTAATGACTTAGTAGTATCCTAACCATCTAAAGCATCCAGGTTTCTGTCCCTCTGAGTCAAAGAACAATGAATAAACTTAGTCAACGAAAAGAAAAAAAAAATTCCAGGAATAACAACTGTGTCAAAAGTTCTTAGCCTGATGTAACTTCAGTCTACTTCCTTTTCCACTTCTGTAATTCTAAGTGATAATCAATTACTAACTACTGAAAATATGGTATGAGATAAGAATAAGCCACAAATTCTATATGCTGTTCTTAAGATGTTTTCTAAAATGCCAGCAAAAAGGACATAGTCTAATACATTGACTTTCAACCTGTCTTGAACTTAAGCCATAGTTAGAAATAAATTTACTTTACAACCCTGTACATACATACTTCTATACGTACACGTAAACAAATTGAAACATATGTAAATAATACCCACTCACTACTTGGAACAGAGTCTGGTATTTTACATTCTTACTGTTCTTTTTTTAAAACGCTGGTTGATATTCAACTAAATTAACTTCCCAATTCACTATGGAGCCTCAACCTGCAGTTTAAAACTACTGATCTGCTAACTCTTAAGTTTCAGTAAATTATATTAAATATATACATACTTTCATTGTGTCAGAAACCAACAATGTCTGTGAGGAACTTGAAGGAGAATCAGAAGAATTCTGGAAAAAAAGAAAAAAAAAAGGACAAGCCTATGATACATCTTACTCAAAAAGAGGAAAATGAAGAGAAGCAAAGCAAATGTTTGAATTGCACATTCTAGTCTAAGGCATTACCATAGACAAGGAATCCTGTAAGACCTTATCAATGGTAGCACAGAGCTCTTCAGTTTGCTGTCTGAGCTGTGCAGGGAAACAAAACTGGAAGAATTGAAACCAGTACTGAGTTAGCAATGAGTTTCGGGATCTTTGTTTCAAAAGCATGGGTAGTCTGAAGTCATTACCTCCAGAGGCGGGTCTAATGTGTTGTCCTTGAAGACACTTTCAGTCTTGGCTGGCTCATCGAGTGCCTAGTGATAAATGAAATAGTTCTCATGTGAGGCTTTTAGTCAAATACAGAAGTAGAAGAAAAGTATCTTCAAAGAAAGCCCTGTAGTTCTCAACATCTCAAAAAAGAAAAAAAAATATGTTTGAATCATTTGATGAGCTATTATTTGGCATGGAAGCATTTTCCATATTTGTCTAGTTTCTCCAATGTAATTAGTATCTCCAATATAAGTTGCTGAAATAAAGAAAGGTGGCTGAGATTTTAAACATACAAACTTAAACTTGGACATCTTGTATATGCAAATGAGCCTTGTCCCCTTCAAAGAAGTCACCTTGGGAAGCCACACACAGAAACAATGATGTAGCCATTTCTTATTATATTATAAAAACTGTCTGAGGAAATGCTTCAGAGCCAGTTTACAAAAAACATGCACACACAAGAAGAAAAAACCTGTCTCATTTCTAAAAAATTTTAAATGTTTATTTTTGAGAGGAAGACAGAGCATGAGCAGGGGAGGGGCAGAGAGAGAGGGAGACACAGGATGCAAAGGAGGCTCCAGGCTCTGAGCTGTCAGCACAGAGCCCGACGCGGGACTTGAACTCACAAACTGTGAGATCATGACCTGAGCTGAAGTTGGATGCTCAACAGACTGAGTCACCCAGATGCCCCAAACCTGCCTCATTTTTAATAATTTATATCCAAAAAGTCTTGGTTACTTTATTCACCAGATTTGGACTCAAATGACACTCAAACCTCTTTTGAAACATACTTTTTTATTTATTGTGATGTACTTCAGATATATAAATGGAGAAAATAAGATGGCCCTCTGTATAGTGTACCTACTCCATTGAGAATGAGAAGTAAAGCATTACAAAATATTAGAGGCCAGTATATATTTACTGGTTATTCATGTTTTCTTTTATATATTTGCTCATTGTTCTGCTGGGTGGTCTGATTTTTATTCATTTGTTGGAAAATGTGATATAATCTGCATGCAAAATATTTGTCAATTAGATGTCATGTAAACATCTTCAAAGTCTTGGCTCCCCTTTTCATGAGTGTCATGATGTCTTTTGTCAACACATGTAAGTTTTCATTGCAGTGTGGTCAAGTTTTCATCATTTTCCTTTGTGGTTGGTGTTTCCTTTCAGAAACTCCTTCCTAACCTAATAAGTCACTCCCTCCCTTGGGCAAGAGTCTTAAAAGTAGGGGTGTTAGATATGTGTTCTAAACCCTTCATGCCACAGTGGGGAGGTGGGGGTTTTCTCCCAATTTCATGGAGCTATGACAGGATTAGAGTTTTTAAGGAGAGTGTGTTTCAGCCTTTTTTCTTTATTTATTTTTACCTGTTTTGATAGTGTCATTCATCCAGTGTGTTGGAGTCACTCACAGAATCGCTGGACTTCTCTCAGAGAAAGTGCTCCATGTATAGCTGTATATTGGGTGTGTCTGTGGGAGGAGGGAAGTTCAGAAGTCTCCTAGGTCACCATCTTGGCCCCACACCTTTATCATTTCTCATATTTATTTGCATCTACCTACTTTTTAAAAAAATCAATTTCTCCAGAGAATGATCAGTTCCTACTCACTTAGACTAAATTTTAGCCTTGAATTTCTTTGGCATACTCATATCCCATTTCAGTAATATCTGTTCACATCTTTACTGTTTCCTTCCTTCTATCGTTTTTGGGTTTATCCTGATTTTCCTCATGGTATTCCTTTTGTTTCATATCACAAGTTAAAATATGTAGTGTGATCATTGCCATTCATTCTCAATACATCTTTAAATATTACTGTTAAGATTGCTTAGATTCATGGGTTATTTAAAAGTAGTTTTCCTTTTTAATTTTTAAAAATATGAGGATTTTTTCCAATTTCAGAATTATCTACAATTTAGTTATGTTATGGCCAAGGAATTTGTTCATAATAGTAAGTTGCTGTGAAGTTTGGGATTTATGGCATAAGACATAGTGTTTGTAAATATTTCATTTATATTTAAGAAAATATCTATTTTCCAGAGGTTGTCTGTGGGATTCTGTGTGTGTGTGTGTGTGTGTGTGTGTGTGTGTGTGTGTGTGATTGAAATTATTCATTGTTCTGTTGAAATTATCTCTAGTTTTACTGGGTTTTCTACATACTTATTCTATCAGTAACTGAAGGTGTCATCATCAAATCTCAGGGAATTATGGGGCGCCTGGGTGGCGCAGTCGGTTAAGCGTCCGACTTCAGCCAGGTCACGATCTCACGGTCTGTGAGTTCGAGCCCCGCGTCGGGCTCTGGGCTGATGGCTCAGAGCCTGGAGCCTGTTTCCGATTCTGTGTCTCCCTCTCTCTCTGCCCTTCCCCCGTTCATGCTCTGTCTCTCTCTGTCCCAAAAATAAATAAAAAACGTTGAAAAAAAAAATTAAAAAAAAAAAAAACTCAGGGAATTATAATGGGTCCGTTAATTTCTCCCTGTGATACCAGCAATTTTTGCTCAACATAGTTTGATGCCATTTTATTAGCTACATTCATAATTAGAAGTATTCTTCCCTCAGCTACATTCATAATTAGAAGTATTCTTCCCTCATGAATTAAATATTTACCCTTACGAAGTGACCCTCTATCTCCCCAGTAATGCTTGATGTCTTAATATCTATTTTGCCTGATACAACCAAATGCTTTAATTAGCATTTTACTAGTTTATCAGTTTTTGCCTCTTTATTTTCAACATCCTGCATTCGAACATTAAAAATCAGTGGTTTATAAAAAGCAGATGTCTAGAATTCATTTTTTGATTCAGTCTCATCTCCATTGTTTTTTAATTAAAGAGGTTAACGTTTCTTTTATTACAATTATTTACACATTTAAATGTTTCCAACATATCTGTTTTATTTTTGTTTCACTTTTTCTATTTCATTTTTATTCAATTTTTGAATGTTTTAACTGATTAAATTTTGGGGGTTTTTACTTACTCATTTTTCCCTCCACCAATTTGGACATTGTGGCAGACACTGTTAGGTGTTCACCAAGTACTTTGATTTTTTTCGAACACAGAAATACATTTCCTTGGTCTCAAGAGTTTAGGTATGAGCTTGTAACTAATCCTTGCTAAATAAATGTGAGTAGAAGTCATATATAACCTCTGTTAAGGTTGCATCTACCTACTTACCTCTGGCACAAGGCGGCTAGAAACAGATATGGGTTCTCTCTTTTCACCTTCAGATAACTAAGATGCAAGATGGAAGCAGGTTACATCTCCGAATCACTCAATTACTGAGGCTTATGTGAGAGAGCCAAAATGAACTCTACCAAACTGTGACGTGGGAAGGAAATAAGCAATGATTGTGCTAAGCCACTGAAATATCAGGGTCTGTCCACTGTGGCAGTGAGTATGGCATACATTAAAACTAATACAAATACTATAGACTGGTTTTTACAAATTAATCTTGGAAAGTTTTCCATTCGTCCTAAGGTCTAAACCAAGCAATACAAAATCTAGATTTAATTCACGTACTATACAAGAATACGTGTAGTCTTCACCCCCTACCCTGGTTTTTATGTTCCAATTGCCTTAAATACATTTAATTATGCTACAAACATATCATCATGTTAAAATTTTTGCTTTAAATAGTTATAGGTATTTCAAAGGAATTTTTGAAAATTGTGGTTACCCACATATTTATTATTTCCCATGCTCTGCATTCCTTCCTGCAGTTCTGAGTTTCTATTCAACATTATTTGTCTTCAGCTTGGCAAACTTCCTTCAGCATACTTTGTCATACAAATCTGTATGATTTATTAATAAATTTTACTTATAAAATTATAAAATTTATTTAATTTATAAAATTTATTAATAAATTTTCTTAGTTTTCTTTTAGTTGAAAATGTCTTCATTTTGTCTTCATTCTTGAAGGAATTTTCCCTGGCTACACAATTTAGTTTTCTTTTTCTCTCTCAGCATTTAAAGGTGTCATTCTGTTGTCTTCTGGCCTCCACTGTTTCTTAGGAGAAGTTAGCCATCATTGTATTGTTCTTCCTCTGTATGTAATGCATTATTTTCCCCTAATTGCTTCCAAGATCTCCTCTTTATATTTAATTTGTAGAAGTTGAATTATGATATGCTCAGTCATGGTTTTCTTTGAATCAAACACTTTGGAGACTATCTGAGCTTCTTAAAACTATACATTTATATCTTTTACTAGATTTGGAGAGATTTTGATTATTAGTTATTCAAATATTTTCTCTGCTCCATTCTCTCTCCCATCTCCCTCTGAGACTCTAATTACATTTCGATACCATCCTACAGGTCATTGGAACTCTTTTCATTTACTTAATTGTGTTCCCTTTTTATTCAGATCAGATCATTTCTAGCAATTTATCTTCAGGTTCACCAACACATCTGCTTCTCCAGTTTTATCTTAAAACAATCCAGGGAATTTTCTATTTCCAATATTTCCTTTTTCTTTTTTTCTGTTTATTTATTTATTTTGAGAGAGAGAGAAAGCAAGCAGGAGAGGAGCAGAGAGAGAGAGAGAGAGAGAATCTCAATCAGGCTCCACACTGCCAGTGCAGAACCTGACTCAGGGCTTGAACTCACGAACTGTGAGATCGTGACCTGAACTGAAACCAAGAGCTAGCTGGACGTTTAAACAACTGAGCCACCCAGTTGCCTCATCAATATTTCATCTTTCAATCCTAGAATTTCCATTTGAGTATATTTTATAGTTTCTAGTTTTGGAAAGTCCTATATAATTCATTATTAACATATTTTCCTTTATACCCTTGAGAATAGCTTTAAAATCCTTGCTAGCTAACTGCAACGCCTGGAACATCTTTGGGTCAATCTTTGTGACTTATACTTTCTCTGTGAGTATAGTTTACATTATCCTGTTTCTTTGTATGTCCAGAGATTAGAAATGTTTGTAGCCTAGCTATCTTGAATGACATGTTATAAAGACTCCAAATTCTGTTATGGTCCCCTGAAGAGTCTTTTTGTCACTGTTGCTTAGTTTTAGCAGATGGTTAATTTGGCTCCAAATTCTGC